CATTAAAAATAACTGTAGAATTTATAAAATACTTGGGCATATCTATTGAGACACACATGGGAACTATGTGAATGCAACTATAAAATACTCTTTACAGAAATGAAGACAGACGTAAATAGTTCGAGAAATATTTATTGCTCACGGATAGTGAGAAACAATAGCAAAATTCATCTGCAGGAACAAAAATGTCAAGAATATAAAGGGAAATACTGAAAATAAAATGGGAAAGAAAGGGGCCTAGTAGTACCAGATCTCAAACTATACTGCAAAGCATAATAATCAAAATGACTTGGTATTGGTTAAAACTAGATAGGTGGATTAGTAGAACAGATCAATAAAACATTTAAGCGCTTGCTATATGCCAGACACTGTGCTAAGGGCTGCTACACAACAAGATTAGAGGCACAACATACAGAAGTAAACAAATTTAGTGGTGTGTAGTATCTGATAAACCCAAAGATCCTGGCTACTATAGAATAAGAACTCACGTTTGACAAAAACTCCTTGGAAAACTAGAAAGCAGTCTGGCAAAAATTAATTTTAACTGTCAGCATCTCACATCAAATCCCGAGATAAGCTCCAAATGGATACATGACTTACATATAAAAAGTCACACAATAAAGACATTAGCAGATCAAGGACAAAACTACCTTTCTGATCTATTGATAGGGAAAGAGTTCATGACCAAAAAAGGAATATAGAGGATCACAGATGAGTATTTGCAGCCTATCTGTTGTAAAAGATGAAGATGGAGACATTCTTTAAAATATTCAATTAGACCCTCCAAATGAAATTAATTGGGATAATCTTGATTTTATAAAAGTTGAATTTTTGCATAAACTAAAATTGGAAGGGAAACAAGTGGGAGAAGTCATTCAGCAGGTTTCTCTGATAAAGAAAGGTCTCATTTCTAAGATATTTAAGGAACAGATTCAAATTAACAAGAGCCATTCCTCAATTGAGAAATGGTCAAAGGATAACTTTTTAACAGGCAGTTTTCTAAGGAAAAAACTCAAGCTTTCGATGTCACATGAAAAAGTGTTCCAAATCGCTAATAATTAGAGAAATACAAATGAAAGCAATTCTAACATTCTACCTCACATTCATCAGATTTGTAAAAATGACAAAAAAAAAAAAGAAAAAAGAAAAGACAGGTGGAAGGGGCTACAGGAAAATAAGCACATTATTGCATTGTTGGTGGATCTGAATTGGTCCCATCATTCTGGAAGGCAATTTGGAACTATCTCTGCAAAGTCGCTAAACTGTGCATGCCAACGATAGCACTACGAGGCCTATACTTCAAAGAGAGACAAAAAGGATCCACAGATATAAAAAATCAGCAAAGAAGGGAGCACCTATCAATTGCTGAAGGGTTGAACAAATGATGGTAAATTAATTTAGTGGAATATTATGCCATAAGAATTTAAAAAGAAAGGAGAGTCATGGAGGCATTTTTTTTTTAAATGATAGAAAAGAACAGAAGGAAGGCCAGAAAGCAGCATAGAAAATTAGGACAACTACAGGTTAAATACATACATACATATGTGTATATATATAGAGAGAGTGAGAGTTGCAGTTTCATGTACAGTCTTTTTATTCTATTTTACTATGTGTGTGTGTGTATGTATATATATATATATATATGGAGTTACCTATTTTATTTGATGTTTAAGCTCAGAATAAAAAAAATTTTAAAACAAGTTTTTGATGCTGAAAAATGGGAAATGAGCAAAAGAACAGACATCAATTCAGATAATTGCCATTTCCTAAGGAATTTTAACTCCTATCAATCAACCCTAATGGAACAAAAGGGCCTAGAAAAATTGTCTTAACCAGAAAACTCTTTATCTCCTTGTCAAGAAGAGAGACATGATCAGCCAAGGGTAACATCAATTTAGATTATCAATTTGAGGAGGAGAATAGAAGATTATGAACAATATAATCTCATCACTAATACACTGTTGGTGGAGTTGTGTACTGAGTCAACCATTATGTAGAGCAATTGGGAACTATACCGAAAAGCCTTGCAATACCACTACTAGGTCTATATCCCAAAAAAGATAAAAAACAAAAAGGAAAAAGATTTATATGTGCAAAAATATTTATGGCAGCTCTTTTCTGGTGGCAAAGAATTGGAAATTGAGGGGATGCCCATCAATTGAGGAATGGCTGGATAAGTTGTAGTATGTGATTGTGATGGATTACTATCGCACTATAAGAAATGATGAGCTGGATGTTCTCAGAAAAACCTGGAAAGAATTACATGAATTGATGAAAAATGAAATGAGTAGAACCAGGGGAAAATTATACACAGTAACAGCAATGTTGTAAGATGATCGACTGTGAATGACTTAGCTTTTCTCAGCAATACAATGATCTAAGATAACTCTGAAGGGCTTATGATGAAAAATGCTATCCATCCCCAGAGAAAGAACTGATGGAGTCTGAATGGAGATCGAAGCATGCTTTTTTAACTTTCTTTTTCTTTTTTTTTAAATTTCGGTCTATTTTCTTTTACAACATGACTATCAAATTGCTTACCTTCGAAATGAGGGGGTTGGGGAGGGAGGGAGAGAATTTGGAACTCAATTTTAAAAAAGAATGTTGAAAATTGTTTTTACATGTAATTGTGGGAAAATAAAATACTAAATAAAAATAAATAAAACAAACAGACTTAAAAAAACCCTACCAATATAGTCTTATGTGAGAGGCTGTGTGTCACACTAGATAGAGAGCTGACTTTGCAATTAGAAGAAGGGAGACGCTGTCACTGATGAATCCAGGGATGCCGTTTAAGATACCCATGGGAAGATGGGAAACCCAGGACCCGTCAAAAGAATTGGAGGGAAAGGGAAGGGAGCCCTGGTTAAAGCTGAAGCTGAGGTCTCTTCTCCCCTTGCACGTTGTTCTTCCTCTAGGATATACTGGAAAGCCACAGACTCCAGTACTTGAATTCAATCTTTTTCTAGCTCACTTGATGCTTTTATAGGGAAGGGGAAGGGAATGATTATTTATATAATGCCTACTATGTGCCAGGCACTGTACAAAGTGCTTTACAAACATGATCTCATTTGACATATAGGACCCAGTGGGCATCATGAAATCTCCCATGCATTTGGAACAGAACCCTTGTCTGACATCAGTTCACTTTGTAAAATGGCTTTTAGAGACTTTTGGCAGTTAGGTCAAAGCTCATGATTGGAATTGATTGTTTGAGACTTGTTCTCACTTAGTTAAGCTATCAGAGCTAAAATGAGGTGGGGGTATTTCAAAGAGTCCAGGTCAGAGCCTTGAGGACCACCCAGGATAGGTGGGCATAACATGTATGAAGATCCAGCAAAGGAGACAGGAGGAGTGGTCAGACAGATAATAGTCCATAGATGTGGTCCAACCATGTCAACCATCCCCCCTCTCAACAACTCAGTAAATTCCAGTGGCACCCTGTTGCCTCCAAGATCAGATACAAAATCCTCTGTTTGGCTTTCAAAGCCCTTCGTAACCTAGCCCCTTCCTATCTTCCCAATCGTCTTACACCTGACTCCCTGACACATACTCTTTGATCTAGTGACACTTGACTCCAGGCTGTTCCATAAACAAGACCCTCCATTCTCTTGGCTGTTAATATTTTCTCTGGCTATTCTGCATGCCTGGAATGCTCTCCCCCCTCCACTTCCAACTATTGACCTCACCTTCTATAGGAAGCCTTCCTCAACTCCTCTTAATTCCATTGCCTTCCTTCTGTTAATTATTTCCTATTTGTCCTGTATATAGTTTGCTTTGTATATATTTGTTTGCAGGTTGTTCCCCCCTGTCAGATTTTAAGCTCCTTGAGGGCAGGGACTTTCTTTTGCCTCTTTTTGTATCCCCAGCACTTAGCACAGTGCCTGACACATATAGGAGATACTTAATAAATGTTTATTGATTGGTTCGTTGATTTCTCTGAAATATTTGATTAGCATCACTATTTTTTATGTAAGAATGAGCTGAAATAAGTACTTAGTTCCTTTTTTAGAGATCTAGTCCAGGGGTCCTTGACTTTTTTTGTGTGTCCTGGGCCTTTGGGCAGTATGGTGAAGAAGTCTTTGAGGAATTCAGCTCCTCCGAAGAATGCTTCTAAATGTATAAAAACAAAAAAGAAAGGATTACAAAGGGAACTGATTCTATTCAAATACAGTTCTCCAAATATTTAAAAAAAAATAAATTCTCTGAAGCCAGGTGAAGCACCCTTGCTAGATAACATCCTTAGGAGGGCCCTGGGCAAGGTGGCACCTTTAGAGATGTAGACATACTTCCTGAGCTGGTGTCTCAATTCACACTGAGAAAGAAGCTATTAGAAATCTTATTGAAATGAAAAACAGTCCTCAATGACCAGTTTAGTCAGCATTTAGGAAACGTTTTATTGACAATTCTTGGTTTTAATGTGTAACAGCAGACTTAGTAGCTTATTACTTTTCTTCACTTCGTGCTTTCCTACTGTTTGCAGTATTCCCTCCTACTGCTGTGTAAAATGCCCAGAAAGAGTTTTATAATATTTATATACCTGCTGGGTGTTAAGAGCAGAACACAGAAATAGGTGTGGGCCTAGGCTGGTCTTCTCACGATTGAAATTTGACAGATGGGTGAGATATGTGTTTTGAGAGAAGATGGGCCCAAAGGAAGCAAGCAACCTTGCTTCCCCAGCTACTGTCACTTGTCTAAATATGAGCTATTCAAAGTACAGGCCGAGATAGAGTGATGACAAATGCTGATATCTGTTCAGATAACTTCTGGAGTTTTGTTATTAATCTCCATTTTGCTTGATTGACCTGGATCTTTATTCTTCCTATCCTTTTTTGCCCTTTCCTCAGCTCTCTCTGAGAATGCAGTCATGTCATGCATCTCTGCTCTGGGAGGGTAGAGACAACCTTGGGTCCTTTTATGTTTGGGAGCCAATGTGGTGAAATTGCTAACTAAAGCCAGACCCGTCATCTAGACTACTTACAAGTGTTTCTCCTTGCCAGAGATTCTGTCGGGTTTGATTTTCTGAAGACTGTCTGTAACCAATTTGAGTCGTCAGCAGATGTTGGAAAAGCCTTTCTGCTCCACATTGAGCTCCTCTTACAAAGGAAGGAAGACCAGCTTGCCAAGGAGAAGGTTGAGGGCATCCTTACAGGTCTGTAACTGGTTACTGAAAAGTGGTAATCTGTGGAGAATCATGCTAAGACAGAGGGAGTAGGAAATAGTAGGAGGTGAAGGTAGAGAACTTGGGCTTCCTTTTTTTTGGCCTTCTCCTTTGTCCTTTATCTGATGGTCACTGAGTATAGTAGTCCCTCATCTACTCTCTCCTTTTTTTTTTTTTTTTGGTTTGGTTGGGCAATGGGAGTTAAGTGACTTGCCCAAGGTCACACGGTTAGTAAGTGTTATGTGTCTGGGACCGGATTTGAACTCAGGTCCTCCTGAATCCAGGGCCAGTACTCTATCCACTGTGCCACCTAGCTGCCCCGGTAGTCCCTCATCTATCCAGAGCTTAGCCACGAATCAGGAAGAAAGCAGCCAACATTGTCACAAAGTCCACTTCAGCCTCCTACTCGGGGCCTACTTTTAGTTTACATTTGTTTACTTTGGTGTACTTTGCATTGGTAACTAACAAACTTGGTTATACAGTGTCACAGCTCAGAGTAGTTTTAGCAACAACCAGTCACTAAAGGGGGAGAAGGGGGACATGGACTGTTCCGGATGGGAGCAATAATATCAAGTCAGGGGACAGCTTGGCTGCTGCAGAAGGAGATCTAAAGCAACCTAGGACCATTGAGGGTTGAGGTGAACAGTACCTAACATGGTGAGGACCCTGGATCATCCTCCTGAGGTGAAATTGTGCTCAGTATATTGTGTAAGAAGGCGGGGAAGCAGGAAACTAAGATGTTTTCTAAAGGTTTCTGCCCAGTTAGTTGGGTAACTTTTTTTTTCTTTTAAGTTTTGGTTCTTAAAAGCTGGCTATGCAATTGAATCACTCCCTAAGAGTTCTGAATAGCCACAATTTTATGAGCTTTTGAAGACTACCTTGCAGCTCTATGGTGCTTTGCCATTTTCTAAATGCTTTCACGTTTACTATCTCATTTAATCCTCTCTCATTTCTCCCATTGGAGGTTGAGTAGCACAAATATTTTTATCGTCATCCTTAGAGATGAGGAAACTGAGGCGTTGAGACCTTAAGGGACTTGGCCATGAGCACAGATAGTAGGTGGCTGAGGCAGGGTCTCACTCAAGTCTCCTGTGTTCGGTCCACTGCCCCATGCTGCACAGGGAGGCCGTCAGATTGAGAAGTTGATCTACAATGAGGCTGAGCGACTGAGTAAATGGCAGGGCCAGATTTTGTGACTTCTGTCTCTGTACCCTGCACTATCCCATGGTGGCCACGCACCTCTTGGGATAGGAGCATTTAGGGGTAACATATCAGGTAGCTTCTGACTCCTGGCTCATTAGTTAGGACTGACTGTCCCCAGGGCCAGATGCATGTTTGATGACTGGCCTAGGAGTCAGGCTCTCTCAGGAGCTCTAATCCAGACTTTGACAAAAAGGGCAGAAGGAGAGGACAGGGTGTGTGTTTATATCAAATTCCGCCTTCAGCTAGCATGCTATTATGGGTCGATGGTTCCTTAATAGGCTAATGTCTTGGAACCTTGTAAATTTCTAGACCAAACATACTTGTCTGTGAGTCATGGGGTTTAAACTGATAAAGCTTATGTGTAAACCTGGTCATAAAGTATTTTCCAAGTGCTCTAAGGCATAATTGGCCTCCATTGTGAACTTGCCCTGATCCCCTTAGTACATTACACTAGAAATGCTCTTTCTTATTAATGATTTCTGGCATTGCTGTCGGCTCACTCACAACTGTAAATTACCTTGCCAGGAAATGATCCCATTTGGAGCCTACAAAATGGGTTAAAAGAGACTGATGGGAGGGAAACTGTCCCAGATCTATGGAGGTGGTATCTCATCAATTCTGATGGGACCACTTGATTTTGAAAGCTTTTGTAATGTGGCTGCTGATGGGGGCATTGGGAATGTGCTTGTTTTCAATCCCTGCTTGAAGATTACAGTCCATAAAGTCGACACTATTGATTGACACAAAAGTTGTCGATTTCTGTTTATGAACACTTTGGTTTTTTCTCAGCTCATCATGCAGGAAAGGAGCTGCCCCCCAAAATATTAAGCTGGCTGCACAACATTCTTTGGGACCAAGCTGCCCGAAATTTTGAGGTTTGAATATGTTTATTCTTATATCAGTCCTTCTTTTTCTTTTCCTCAGGTCAGATAAGCTGTCACAAACTTTCGATGTGCCAAATGGTCTCCCTATCCCTAGAACCTCTTCTTTCTTTAATCCATTTCTTCACAGGCCCCCAAAGTAATCTTCCTAATCATCAATCACTCCCCTGTTCAAAAGCCTTTAGTGATGCTACCCTCTCCTGGGCATGCCGATGAGGCATGCTGAGTATAAACCATGACATTTAGCCTTTAAACCCCTTAAAAGTGGGCTCATTTGGAGGAGAGCAGTCATTATGAAATGTCTTGTGGCCTGGAAAAAAAAAGTGAATATCTTTCTAAAGTTTACCTCCATTAGTTTTAGTATTGTAATTGTATTGGCTTGTAGAGACACTTAACGAAAACATCACAAAAGTGGCCTCTCACGCATGTGTGCCTCTTATTTCTTCTCCACCCTCAGGCACAGAATTACTCTGAAGCCCTGCACTGGTATAACTGTTCCCTGAGTTTCTATCCGTCTGGGCAGATGGATCTGGACTTTGCCAAACTGCAGAGGAATCGAGCTTCCTGCTACATTCATCTGAAGCAGCTGGAAAAGGTCCTTTGGTTCCTGTATTCCGGGGAAGCAGCAAACATGTTTGCAGAGAGTTGAGGATGGCTGGCGAGGACAGTATTCTTTGTGTCTTCTTGGAAGTCATTGCCTCTAAGGATGCTTACAGTCATTCTCCACGTATGGCTCAGGGAGGGCTAACCTGGGGGCTCAAATTTTTCACGAGGCTGAGGGGGTCACGTCCAGCTAGGCGTTGCAGATTGTCACGAACTGTAAGACAAAGCCCTGCCAGGGCTCTTTTGTTCCTGCTTTACCAGGACTGTTAACTAGAATGGGAGACAGTCTATTCTGATGAGTGGAAGTCTTGTTGGAGATGTGAAAGGTCACGCTGATCAGCCAGCCGCAATGTTACCCTTGAAATGGGTCGTAGATTGAGGGCTAACATTGGTGTTTTGTTTTTTTTTTTTTTTTAGCAAGCATGCAGTGCAAGAAAAGGCTCAGGTAAGAATCCCGTTCTTCCACCTTCGCGGCTGATTGCTTGGAACTTTCCAGCAGTCTTTGCCATGACTATGGAGTGACTTTTATAATTTTTAGAAGGTGAAAGAAATGGATGATGATCTGAAGGTGGAAACATTCCTATTGCACACAGTGTTTGGTAATGTCTGGAAGCGTTGCAGCACTTTGGGAAACGTTATTCCCTTTAACAGATCACAGATTGAATGTTGCCACACATTTGGCAGTTCAGAGTTCAGAGATCTGCGGTGGGTGTAGGTCATTCCTGCTTCAGGTGTAGAGATGAAAAGGGGCCTGTCGTCACCATCCCACCCTGAGTGAGCCATTCAGGGTGTGCTGGTCTGGATGAGGTTTTATCCTGATCTCAGGAGTAGAGTTTCCTCGGGGGCTGTCCCCTCATTTTGCTGCCTTATTGTTGGATTTGTCTTCTACAAAGAAAAGGCTTGTTTCCCCTTATGTTTGGAAGGAAAGGAGCCAAAGTTTGGAGCACAGAATCAGAAGAAGCAGCATGATATAGTGGAACTGAGGATCAGGAGATCTGGGCTCTCGTTCTGGCTCTTCGACTAGCTAGCAGTATGACCTTGCCTAAGTCATTTCCCCTCACTGGGTCTCAGGTTTTCTCTTTGCAAAACAAGATTTCTGAGGTTCCTTCTAGCTCTAACTCCTCTGATCATAGGCCCTTGGGTCAAGAGGTGGAAAGAATCTTAGAGGTTATTTATTTCAACCCCTAATTTTATAGAAAAGAAAATTGAGGCCCTGAGAGGTAAGTGACTCTTGCCTCTTCTACCTCTAGCTAAAGCTGTAGTCTTGCTTTTCTATATCTTTAAGTCAGGGGTTCTTGAACTGTAGTTCATGAACCCTAAGGGTTGGGGTTTATGGATACATTACAGGGAGTCCGTGAACTTGACCCCCTGTACTATCAAACTTGATATCAAAAAATATTTTGGTGTCTGCATTTCATTAGAATTGGTTTCTTTTGTAATCCTATGTATTTTATTTTATCCATCTAAACATGTTCTTTTGAGAAGGGTCCATAGACTTTACCAGCCTGCCCAACGGGTCCTTTCCTAATGTCAGACAATGGAATGTTGGGAAAACGTGTTTCTCAGAGCTCTCCTCCTTGGGAAACAATCAATCCCCTTCAACTTTGTAGCCCTCTGTAAGGTTGGAGGCCACACTGAGGGGCAATTGATGAAATCCCCTGACCCGACAGATACATTGGCCCTTCCCGTTGGAATTATTGGGGTAATGGGTGTGGAATATACTGTGGCAGGGTTGCAAGAGCACTGGGTTTGGCGTGTGAGAACCTGAGCTTGTAGCCTGTCTTTTCTACTTACTCTCTGCATCATCCTGGCCAAGTCCTTTCCTCTTTCTGGACCTGTGTAAAACGAACAGTTTAGCTTAGATGATGTCTGAGCTCTCTTCTGGCTCAAAAAGTCTGAGATGAGTTTGATGGCACCTTGACCCTAGAGGTTGTGCTGGAAATAATAGCAGATCACAGATTTGGAGCTGGAAGGGACCTCAGTTCGACCCTTATCATACAGGTGAAGAGATTGAGGCAGATAGAGGTTAAATGATTTGAGTTCAGATTTGAGCCCCGGGCTTCCTGGCTGCAATTGTAGTGCCCTGCCCACTATACAGTGCCAGAGCAAGACCTTCATTGGATTTGAGAGGTATGTAACGACACTGGGGGATGATTGTCCATAACGGTCATACATTATTAGTTCTTCTTAGGTGTGTGGACTGCCAGTGCTACAGATAGTGAAATGCAAACAGCCAGGAATTGGAAACCATTGTGCCTTATTTCAGCAGCCACCACAGCATCAGAAAGCATTTCTGTGATTTTTATACAGCTCTCAGTAGACAAGCTTTAACGTGGAGCTATGTTGTTTTATATGGTCCCAAAGATCTTACTCCTTTTTAGTAGGTCTGAAAATGAATTGACCATTTTGCCTAAAGCGGCCAACATCTTGCTGTGACCACTAGGTGGTGATATAGCTTCTGTTTGTATTGAATCCATCCCATTAGGCCTTGCCTGGCTGGCTGGAGATGCTTTTGTGCAGCTGTGGAGGACGCTGGACAGCCATTTTCACTCACTCAACTGTAGAAACAGAACACAAAATCAAGACTTAGGAAGCCATGAGATGAAGGCTCATTTCTGAACACGTGGTATAGTTATATGGTACAAATCTTAGGAGCTTCCCAACATCAGGTCAAATCAACACATTTCTTTATCTGTAAAACAAAGATGTTTGTGATGCCTATCTTCTAGGGTGGTTGTGAGGGCCAAAGGAGATACAATATCTAGGATTTTCTTTGTAAACTGATTGTCGTTGTGATTGTCGTAATGATGTTGCTGAACACTACCAGTCCTAGAATGTTAGCACTGGAAGGGACCTAAAAGGTTAGGGTAGGAATAGATGTTTTCTATCTAACTTCCCCATTTCACAGATGAAGAGATTGAGGCTTAGGAAAGTTAAGTGATTTGCTTGAGGTCTCACAGCAAACGAGTGTTCACGCTGGGCCTGGGACCTTGCCATAATCAATCCATTGGAGCCTACCTAAAATACCACTTTCATCGTCTGATCAATAGCTCTCAGTTATTTTAAGTGCTGATTCTTTCGACTGCTATTCAAAGTCTCCCAGTGGCCTAAGTCACAGAGAGGCCAAGAAGGCTGAGAAGTGAGGAACCATTCAGGGCAGTGGCCTTACTTTCCCAAATCTCATTCCCACCTCCATGTTCTTCCCATTATGATCTACTTCTCTTATTGGACAGACACAGAAGAACTTGTATGGTGGAATGGAAATTGAGCTCCCCCGAAAGAATACAAGAAAAAGGGCTAGAAATGGAATCTTGGGAGATACCAATTGTTAAGGGGAAGAGGAAAAAAAAGGAGTTGGTCGAAGGGCCTGAGGAGTAGTCAGAGAGTCAGGAGGAAGCTCAGGAAAGTCCAGCTGCCTTTTAAAAAAGAGGGGGAGTTGGTCAGCAGCGTTGTAAGCCACATAGCATTCAAGAAAAGATGCAGAAGAAAGGTTTAGTGGAGTTATGAAGAAGAAGAATCGGATTATATGGGTTCAAGCCACAAATAGAATGGATGGGGGTGTGGAGGGATTCATATGAGACAAACAAGTTATAGCAGATCATCCCCAAATGGGGCCAGGCCGAATCCCTGGGCCCTCTGGGCACCTGTTTTTCCCTGGCCTCTTTTAAGTTTGAGAGTTTAATTTTTTGACTCAAAACATTTCTGTCACAGAGACTGATCTGGGCAAGACAACAGTGGCATGGGGCAACCTCAGCAACAAATCACTTTGTACTTAGAGCTCACATTTATGCAACTCTTTGAGGTTTATAGCATGATTTCCTTATAGCTCTGGAAGGCAGGGAGTGAAAGACTTGGCATCCCAAAAGAGGCTCCCAAGGGGGAGAGAGCATGTCCAAAGTCCTGCGAGTATTAAGTGGCAGAATTGGGGCTCATGCCCAGCTTTCTGAACTCTTGCCCCTGTGGCATGCTGCCTTTATTCAGTTAACTAGAGGACGTAGGTGCCTCAAACTGAGGTGTGACTTCGGGATTGGGGAGTACATTGAGACGTTTACTACCAAGGAAGTCTAACTGTGCAAGACCAAATTAACAATGGAGAGAACGTACTGATGATTTCCTTCATGGCCATAAAAAAGCTGTTGTAAGACTATAGAAGTCTGGCTCAAGGTGCTAGAGTTACTTGTTGGGCAGTGCCGGGATTCTTGGATTTGGTGCACGAGAAGGAGGTGGTTGGGAGGAGGAGGGTCACTGATGTAAAAACACGAAGTGGTGTTGATGATGACAAACTCAAGAGAATGCCACCAACCCTCGGGACTCTCTTATTTCAGCTTCAGCTCTGGCAGCCAACAGAACTCATTTCTCTCTTCCCAGGCCAACGAGGCTGTAAAAGAAGCCGAAAGATACGACGCCTCCAACATTTTCACCCAGTTCATCATGTTCAAGATTGCGGTCTCAAGAGGCAGCACTGATGAAGGTAGGGAAGCTGCTCCTGAGCTCGGTGTGGCCAATGGCACTGGTGACGGTTGTCCTTGTGTGTGGGCGGGGAGGAGGGGGCCCTGTGGACATCTAGATGATTTCATCACAGAAAATAAGGGGAAAAAAAACAGAGGAGATGAGGGGGTTGCAGCCTCAAGGAGTGTGACCTCTGGCAGTAGAGAAGATTCTAGATGGAACTAGCCCTGAAAGCTGAGAGGTGAGCTATGGAGAGGAGTAGGGCCAGGAAGCCCTGCTAGGTAGCTTCTGCTGATGGGCAGCCAGGTGCAGTGTGAGGATAGGTCACTGGGGCCCTGAATTATTGGAAGAAATGTGACTTGCCTTGGCCACATGCCTGTGCTTTCTCACTCTCAGTGTTCTCTTGGTTTGGGCCCACTTTTCTCACTGACACTGTGTGCCCAGGATTAGGGGGCATGCCTCTGTGTTTGAGCTCCGTGTGTCTTACCGGCTGTGTGACCTTGGCCGAGTCACTTAACCTCTGCCTGCCTCAGATTTCTCATCTGTCAAATATGCATAATTATAGCACTACCTCATAGGGTTGTGTGGATCGTATGAAAGAATATGGAAAATGCTTTGAAACCTTAGAACTATGTAACCATGTGCTGCTATTATTATTATTATTATAAGAAATCTATGAAAAAGGGGGTGTGGCAGTGCTTTGTAACTGTTATTAGCTCTTGATATTAGTGCTGTGGTCTGAATCCAAAAAGAGACAGGGAGAGTTCCTTCTCTGCTTCTCAGGGTAAGCTGAGGTCAAGCCTCTTTAGGGTAAAAATCACTGAGGTGTGTGAGGCATTCTGAAGCCATATAGCAGGCCTTTTATTAGTTACTTTTGTGAACTTTGGGGTTTCTTGGATATGGGATGCTAAAGAAGGAAGAAGAATTCTGAGTCTCTGTAGAAAAGCAGAAACTCCAGACTTTCCCCCCATTTTCTCCCTCTCTCTCCCTCTCCCCTTTTGAGTGTTCGAAGTAAAACATTTAACTTTGTAAACACAATACCTTATTGCTCAGCATATTTCTTTATCCCTCAGTAACCAATGCCAGTTTTTCGTGATGGAAGGAAAATCGGGTGCTTTCTCAGCTTTCCTTTCTCTATCGTCTCTTTCTCATGATGAGATGTCATACACCAATAAACCAAATCTGCATTTGGTTCAGTTTCAATGTTATAAACTGCCAGATTTTTCCTCCTCTTTCTTTCAAAGATGCACTGATGGCTTGTACCATCAGTAGAGAGATTGGGTCCTTCTTTCTGTTTTGTTTTGTTTTTTAACTTTTTTTCTCAACTTAAACACCAAAAAAGAGAACATTTTCATTTATAGAGCAGAATACAAAAGGAGGGCTGCCTATGAAATTGTAAATCTCCATTTCATACATATTGCTTTAAAAAAAAAATATACAGTAATTCCACATGTTACTTTCAAAACTGTTCTTGCCTGTGATTTCTTCTTCGACTTGTTGTTCTTCCCTTCTGTGCATTCCAATGCCTCTCTTTTTCAGGGTACTACTACTGCTAATTTTCCCTCTGCCCCCATTCTTTCCCCCATTTCCATTTAAAAACTGAGAGAAAGAAAAAAAGAATCCTTGTGACAGATAAGCATATTCAAGTGGAATCCCCACAATGACCTTGGGTGAGAACTCACCTGTCTCTTTCTGCATCCTCTCTGTTGGGAAGACAATAACCTGCTCCATCGTCAGTCCTTTGGAGTCCTGCTTGGTCATCGAGTTGATCAGAGTTCTTAAGGCTTTCTGAGTTGTTTTTCTTTACAGTGTTAGAAATATATAAATATCCACAATTCTCTGAAAGCATCTCATTCTTCATTTCTTATGGCACAATCATATTTCATTCTCTTCATATTACCACAGTTTGTTCATCCATTTCCCGATTGATAAGTTTCCCCTTAGATTCTAGTTCTTTTCTTAAATTTTGCCTTTTAATCCCTGCTTCAGCTTTCAGGAAATTTGACTGTGCCCTCCCAGTATTATCCTCTCTTTTAACCCTCTCACCCCTCCCTGTCCTTCCTTATTTTCCTTTTGAGTTTGCTATATTTCTACATCAGGTTTTGTGTGTGCTCGCGGTGCGCATGCGTGTGTGGAACCTTACTTTGTCCATTGCAGGATAGAACGAGGTTCCTGTGATGCCTGCTCCCCCCTCACACCCTTTTCTCCATGTTTGTACATTCTTTTTCTCACTCACACGCTACTTATGAAAAATAACAAGTTCGACTCCTTCCTTCCTCCTCCTTTCTACACAAGAGTATACCTTCTTTTACTCTCCCTTCTCTTTGCCCTCTTCAGACTTTCAGAGTTGGACCAATCTAGCCTCAGGGCCTCTATTGTTCTTTAATTCCCTCAATAGCCTTTGAAGGCTTAGAATTTGAAGGGATGCTTGTTTCTTCTTCGCTACTAGAATGTTAGCCCTACATCATCATCCAGCTCGTTCCATCTGCTCGGATTTGCCTTTCGAGATTTCTCATGAGTCTTGTGTTTGCATTTCAGAGTTCCTCCTCAGTTCTGAAGTGTCTGAAAGCCCCCTTTTAGCAGAAGTTGCCAGGTCTTCCATGATGTTGACTCTGTGGTTCCTTGGTATTTGAACTGCTTCTTTCTGGATGTTTAGAGCATTTTTTCTTTGTTTTGGGAGCTCTGAATTTTGGCTATGACATTCCTAGGACTTTTCCTTTGGGGGTTCCTTTCGGGAAATGATAGGTAGATTGTTTTCTATCTCCTATTTGCCCTCTGGTTCTAATAAACCTGTAATTCTTGAAATATGATGTAGAAGGAAACACATTTTCAGACATGCCTAATGTGGGAATTTGTTTTGCCAGACTATGCAGGTATATATTGACGGATTTGTTTTTTTGTCTTGTTTGTTTTTTATTTGCTGAGGGAAGGAGTAAGTAGGAGAGACGGATTAATAAACAAATGGTTGTTATTTGAAAAATTAACAAACAATTTTAAAAAGAAAAAAAGTAATATAGTGTCTTAAGATTTTTTAATCACAGTTTTCAGGGAATCTAATGATCTCTTTTGACTTTTTTCTAGTTCAGTTTTTTTTTATATCAGATAGCTTACTCTTTCGATCTTTTGATTTTGTTCTAATATTAATTGCAGAATCGTGAAGACATTAATTGCTATTTGAGGCAACTAGGTGATGTAGTGAATAGAGTGCTGGGCCTGGAGTCAGGAAGACCTGAGTTCTAATGAGACTCCAAACACTTATTAGCTGTGTGACCCTGGGCAAGTCACTTAACACTGCTGTCTGCCTTGCTTTCCCCAGTTGTAAAATGGGGATAATAACAGTACCTACTTCAAAGGGTTATTGTGAGAATCCAAATGAGATAATATTTGTAAAGCACCTAGTACAGTGACTGGCCCATAGTATGCACTTTTTAATTGCTTATTTCCTTCCCTTCTGCCTATTTATTCTTTTCTAGTTTTTTAAGAAGTTTGTTAATTGGATAAGGTTTACCTCTTTCTATTCCAAGTTGTTCAGTGTTCTCCTAGCTCTTTTCTCCAGAGCTGTTATTTCATTGTTTATTTCTTGCTTCATTTCTTTTAGGTTTTCATGGAGTCCTTGTGGAAAATTCTTTTTTTTTTTTTCCATTTTGAGTCACTGCTTGCAGTTATTCTGCAGTTATTTGCCCCTTCTTTTTAAAGATCTCTGTGTCTATGAATAATTTTTGAAACCAGTTGCTGTTTTCTTTGGTTTACTCATATCTTTCCAACTTTAGTTCCTGAACTGGGGCTTTTGTGCCAGGGTCAAGCTCTGCCCAGTGTTGCTCTTTGGAGTGGGTGGTTGGCCCCGCTTGGCCTCTGTATTCGTGTGCTAGCTGCTGGCATTAGCCCCACCTGGATCTTTGGCTTGCAGAGTGCTGAATCTTCCGGCCCCGGCTGGTATCTCTGGACAGGGTACTAGTGTCTTGTGAACTGCTGTACTGTCATCTAAGTCTGAATAGGTGCCCTTCTCCAAGGTCCCCACCCTAGGGCTTTCTGATCCGGCTGGGGCTTTTTCAGGGCCCTCCTTGACCCTTGCCAACTCCAGACGCGTAGTCTTTTAGGCTATATGTGTTTCTCTGGTTACGCTCAGAGGGTACTGGCTTGTTTGCCTACTCTATGGCACTGGCTTTGTTGACAGCCTCCCTTTTGTGTAGTGCCTGTGGGCTTCTGGCTGACCTTTTTTTGCAGTTCTGGATTAGAAGAAGACCCTATAGTTTCCCATTGGATTTCTTGATCATTATTGAGTCTGATACAAATATCAGGTTTTTGACGTTCCAGCTATGTGGGACCTGGGTCCTCTCCCTGTGTTTGGGCAGCGATCTTGACTAGAGGATCCCATCTGTTTGCCAGCATCTCTTTCCTTTGATTTATAGAATAGTTTCTTTTTCTTTATAAGGTCCTAGATCATTGATTTGGAGATGGAAGGGACCTTAGAGGTCATTAAATCCAAACTCTTCAGAGTAAACCGAGGCGCAGATAGGGTAAGTGACTTGCCCGGGGTCATGCAGCTGCTAAGTGTCTAAGCAGAGTTGAAATCAGGTTTTCCTGCCTCCAAGTCCAGGATTCTATCCATTGTTACTCTATGCTTCCTCTATAACAATTTCAGAAAATATCATTACTCAAATAAATTATGAAAATGAGGAAGAAAATTCCAAATAAAACTTCAAACTCCGTTATTTCAAGTTTGTTTTTTAAATGTAAACTAATAACAATAACAAAAATTGTATTCTAAAATGAGTGACCATCAACAAAAGCATTTGGATAAAAATGTTCAAGTGAGCTTACGTAAAACCGTAAGGTCCGTGTTATTGACAATTTGTTTAAAAGTGTGATTAACTTGAACAAAATAATAACATCCTGAGTGGGTTGAAAAAAGCTCTGGATTTGGAGTTGGATCTGGGTTCAAGTTTCAGCTCTGCCGTTTCCTTGCCATGTGACCTTGGTCAAGTCCCATTCTCCCTCTGGGCCCCAGTTTCCTTGTCTGCC